TTTTGTATCACCGCGTATTATTACACACTTGTACACACACACACACACACACATACACACACGCACACACCTAACACGTACGCACGTCTCTTCTCCGATTTATGTAAGTTTATGCTAAGTTTTTAGGATTAACGTGGCTTCTCTTTTTATTTAAGCGACAATGCAAAAGTTTGATCTCTTACTCGTACATACATCATTATAAATATAAATATATAAATATATACATACATGGTGAATAATTCGCATAATTACGATCGCGCGAGGAATCATGCTCGTTGCGTCCCTCCCTCCCTGTCCTCGTCCTCCTCCACCTTTCCACCCACCTACTCACTTTTACCAACCCTCCCTCATCTGTACACCCCCCTCTTCGCGGTTAGCGAAGTTCTTGACGGACAGAAGGGACGAAACATGTCGTTGTGCGTTCCTCATCATATGGGAAGTACCGCAGAGAGATATTATATACATATATATATATATATAAATATATATGTAAGAAAAAAAATATATGAATAGAGAACGACTCGAGCGTTCGTCCCACGTGTAAAGATACGCTATCGTTCCACCACATTTACCCTCCCCCTCGACTCTCTCTCCCCTTCACCCTTCCCCTAACCATCTCCGCAAATCCATGCGATTGTAAACGCGTTCTCGCCGCGAGTCACGGAAGCGCGAATATGATTTTTTAAAGAACTGCTCCAACTTGATTAAGAAACGAAATAAACGCTGCTTACGACAGTTAAAAACGCCCTTGTGATTACACCTCATTATCACTCACCCTTCTCTCCCTCCGAAGGCTCCATCTCTTTCAGCAGAAAGGTCGGAAGTCCCGGGCTCATCCTCGAGAATAAAGCGGACGCCGGCGATCCCCGTTGAAATTGGAGAAGATCGCGCTGCCCGCGAAAGCTCCGGCAAACCTGGAACAGTGATCCAGATTCACTTCACTGAAGGAAGTACAGACTGAAGGGTTCGTCCCTCGCGGGGATGACGTAAATGCACAATTCGAGGAGATCTACTTTAGGTGTCTGAAGAGGATCGCGCTTAGATCACGGGCTCACCTCTCTGTCATTATTTTTTCTTTAATTAAATCAAGCACTCTCTCGTTGCGCGAGACACCGCGGCGGTGTCCCCGTTTTATCTTCACGTGATTTCGTTGCCGGGTCGGAGCAATATCCGGGAGAGGTGTATTTCCAAGTCGGAAGTAATACGTAATAGAGCTGGAGAGCCGCGTTTCCCGACGCACACGCACGCACGCACGCACGCACGCACGCACGCACGCAACGCACACACGCGCGGCGAGTTTTCGCCAGGTGCGCGTGACACCGCGCGCCACTAAATAATCAACGAGCGCGCGTAAAGTTGTCGCATCGACGACATCTTGAGATATGAGGGCCACCAAGGCGGGACTGGCGCCAAGGTATTAAATCTGAAACGGCCGTCATTGGCGGAAATTTTCATTGGCCGATCGGCCGGTCGTAAAGCTCGCGAGTGGATTTATTTCCCCTGCTAGTTTCTTTTTCTAGCGCTCTTCCTCTCTCTCTCTCTCTCTCTCGCGCTCTTGCTCTCGCTCTCGCTCTTCCGTCCTCTTCTCGCGAGAAAGAGAGGAGCACGACGGGACGGTGGCGATGGGATTCGTTTATCGAGCGTGGAGAATAGAGAGAAAGAGATCTTCGGGCGTTATTGTGCGTCCAAGTGCTATCCCCGATAGCTCGATCGAGGCGCAAATCAACGAAGGAGAGCGCTCACGGCCGTCCGGACGGCCGCAATAATCCTTGACATCCGTCACTCGAATCCTATCTGCCGTCTGCTCCTTGGAGGCTCGCCGGCGCGGCGGATGGCTGGAATGGCCGAATCGAGGCGAGCTCTCTCTCGCTGCAATCCCGGTGTGTGTGATTCGAGCGCACACAGGCGGATAATAATTATGGACACGCGACGGCTGATCCTCCCAAGACCGCCTCTGAATTACATCGCACGAGAGAGAGAGAGAGAGAGAGAGAGATGAAATGTCATGTTTTACGGCGAGAGACATCGCCGAGCCGATACCGAGAATCCGCGATATTAGCGCGACTCGATCGTAAAACGCGATGAACGTCCGATTGCTCTTCGCTGCAGCGAAGAGTTGCTACCGCGATTGCGAGCGCAAAGCCGACCCGCTTCACTCGCGAAGCGACAGTGAGCGAAGCTCGAGCGCGTTTTCGTCGGTGGAAACAAAATCCCCGGCTCTCACTCACTCTGAAATTCAGTTGCGAGAGCCAGAAATTTTCTGTTTCCCTCGAGCAAAACGCGTCCGCTCGTCGTCGCTTAATTCGACCGATTTCTTCTCCCTGTGCGACGTGTCTTTCGCGCTCCCACGAGTTACGCGCACTTTTTACATCCGACTGGTCACGGCGATTTGAGGAGAACGTGGACGATATGAGCGCGCCGAGTGTTCTCCGCTCCGCGGCGGGAGAGATTTCGCGTTTCACGTGCGCTTGGTAAATGACAGCATGCCGTGCAGCGTGCTCCATCGACACGTATCGGACAGACGTACGTTTATTTGTCGATTACATGCGAAACATGGACGCGTTGCGCAAAGCGCACGATGTTTGGTCGCGTCGTATAACGTGACCGATAATACGCGGCCACGCGTATTTGACAGGACGCAGCTCTCTCTCTCTCTCTCTCTCTCTCTCTCTCTCTCTCTCTCTATGCGCTCCTGCTCGCCGCGTACACATGCGAGGCAGTTAGCCAAGCTCGGAGTCGGCCGATTGTGTCGTATCGGTCACTCGCCCTGATTCGTCTGAGCACGCTCAGGTATCATTCGTTTTTTCCTTTTTTAATCGCAAAGGGACGCTGTATTGGAGCGCGCGAAATTGAAAGTAGAAGAGCGCGCGTTTTTCATTGAGAGACGCGCCGCGCTTGAAGCGCTATTGAATGTGAAAGAGATTAAGTAATAATGAAAATTGAAGCACGACACGAGGAGGGGAAGTGAATGACGATGCAGACTCGACGTTTCGCGCAAAAATATCCGAGCCGAGCTCGGACTTCGTCATCGTCATCGTCGTCGCCGTCGTCACAAAAAGTCACCCTCGAAAATTGAACGCGCGATCGCAGAACGCGGTGTGACAGAACAAGAGGATGACAGGGAGGGAGACAGAAAGAGAGAGGGGGAGAGAGAGAGAGAGAGAGAGAGAGAGAGAGAGAGAGAGAGAGAGAGAGGCTTGCCACCCGTAGCGGTTATAAATACGATTGTCCTTGTCATCAGAAGAACCGGCGGCCCACGTTACAGATAATTATAAGCCCGGCACTGGTTTTTCATCGTGACACGATCGATATCCCCCTCCCTTCTGTCCTGAGAGAAAGAGAGAAAGAGAGAGAGAGAGAGAGAGAGAGAGAGAGAGAGAGAGAGAGAGAGAGAGAGAGAGCGTGTGTTACGACATTCCAGTTAATTCTGCGTATCATTATTCTCTATTAATATAATGCCGGGCTCGATTAGCTCGATATAGCGGCACTCGATTTGCGTCAATATTATATTATTTTCAGAGCGCGACGAACGTCTCTTTCGCGCGAATACGTTCCTCCTCGCCGAATCTCATCGATCGATCGATCCCTGAGAGAAATCTCGTCATGTACACACCTGGATTACAATCACGTCGCAATCACGAATCCGCGGTGATCTACTTTACACTTTAATATCAATCACAATGCGTGTGTGAAGCGTACAAAGAGCAATATTCAGTATTCCATTGAAAAAGATCAAATTGATCTGAACGCCCTCACCCGTAAAATAATTGTTTCCACTATGTAACCTCACCCTTTGTATCGAACACGTCATTGTAAGAGCTATTTTCTCTCATATATCTAGAAATCTCGCGAACAATTAAGTCCGTCGCTTTGTACGAATCACACCCTGTAATATTAACGAGGCCGAACGCGCCGCGCGTTTTCCCCTTCGCCGCTTCCCTTCGTGCTGCGGCTTCGCGCGGCTTTAAGCGCCCGCAGAAATATTTTCTTAACCCGGAATTTAACCCTACGCTACGCGAGGTGCGACCGACGATGCGTATTCGCGCTCGAGAGCGTGTTATCTCGGCGATCCATTATTCAGTGTTATCTCTCCTGCGAGATCGACGACATTAGAAAGCGGTGGAAATCAATCCTATTCGGATTCCTACGCGCTCGAGCTCACTGTCATGCTCTCCCAGGATCGTATCCGGAGAATTGATGCCGAGCCTAGCGCCGGTATACAGCGGGATCGCAGCAAATGACCTGGTTCGCTGCGAAGGTTGCAAGGGTCAATTAATCACAATATCACCATCATCCCTTCTTCGTATTATCCCGTACGCTCCGCAGCTTCGCCTCTAAACGCCTCATTCATCACCCGCCACCTGATATCGACTATTTTCGAACGAACGAACTAACGAACGAGCGAGCGAGACCCGACACATTTTCCTGCATTATTTAGTTTCGATTAAGCGGCATGAAGCGTTTATCCGGTGCTCGATTCACTTTTCATTCGCGCGCGCGCAAGATACAAGATGCATATTCCTCGGGACGGACGAGGATCGAATTTTACATCTTGTATTTATCGAGGACGCGACACGTAATATCTCGAGTGAACAATATCAATTTGACGTCGCTCGTACATGAAGTTTCCACGACGAATTCTTCCGCGAAGTCGGAGGGATCCAGAGTCGAGGCGAAAAATACGCGACACCTCTCTCTTTCTCTCTCTCGGACCCGCTGAATCACGTCTTAACACTCGATCTTAACATCTTCGGGTTAACCGCACGTGACATTCTTTCATCGTTTCTCCCCCGCGTGCCCCCCGCCAAAGCGTCTTTCGGAGCAAGTCGATCGCTCGAACTGAATAGATATGAAAAATAAGATCGCTTTAACGAAGCGACTAGAATCCGACACTTTGACGCGAAATTTTGCCTCCGGACGGAAACAGCCGCGCGAACGACCGTGGAGAGAGGGGGGGGGTTTCCACGAGTGGAGAGCAACGGTGGGGAGGGGGGGGCAGAGAGCTCGCATTTTTCGGATGCACGATTCGATGACACGCGCGTCGATATCGGCGCCCGCGTCTCCGTGCATCTTCCACGTAACACGTCGCGACAGGAACGTAAATGTGGGGCAAATCGAAACTGCAATTATCCGACATTGACTGCGTTGCCGGGGGTCGGGGGTATTTTTAATCCCCCCGGCAACGGTGGGCAGAGAGGCGCGGGGCGCGGGCGACCTGCGAGCTTGACGTCAAAGCGGACTAGGCGCGGATGATTTGCTTCGCGTACACGTATATATACTTGGACAAGCACACCGCTACGGCGAAGCTCCTTTATCTGTCTCTCTCTCTTTCTCTCTCTCTCTCTCTCTCTCTCTCTCTCTCTCTCTCTCTCTCTCGAGTGATCGATCGGTCACCGCCTTCCACTCGCGATCATCCTCTCCCTCGCGACATATATTTTTCTTCGTATTTCAACCCGCGCGACGGCCGCATCTCCCCTCGCGATGATCGATGGTCGCGCGGCCTTGAGATCATTTGTTCACGCGGCGGAATATCGATAATTTTAGTTATACGCGCGCTGCTGTCCCGTTAAATTATGCTCCTTCGTCTCGGTCCGGGTCGAAGAGGAGAAAAAAGCGATTGGCCGTGAAGGGAGCAGGGGAGAGCGCGAAAGGAAGAGGAAGAGAAAGAGGGAGACTCGGAGAGGAGTTACGCGACGAATGTGGGCGATACGATGTTAGGTCGGGGTGTTTGGCCGCGATTGATCGTCGTCATGAGGAGAGCTCGTCACCGACGATAGGGCAACAATGAAGTAATCATTGCAGGGTTAGTGATGTCGAAAACCGTGGAACACTAGTCACAGGAGATAGTCCATTAAGACCCGCTGTCAAAGTGCCTGTCCATATTCCCGCGGTGACAAATGTCAGCGAGGATGAGCGTAAAAGACAAGGGAGGCATAATCGTTTATCGTAAGTCACTCGCGACTTACGCGGGCCCAACGGCGTAGCCGTTTTACGTGTCTCTCTCCCGCTCTCTCGCTCGGAAGTCGGACAATTGCGCCGACGTGAAGAACCGCGCGCGTTCGCGCGACGTCTGGGAATCTTCTCACTCTCCGTCCGCGTTCGTTCGCGTCCACCGACGCTCGCGCAATCGTACATTTTTTTTTGTTCAAAATCCATTCGCGAAACGAAAAGATAAGGATTTCTCCCTGTCGCCCTCTTAGAAAAAACAGATTTGTCCAATTTAATAGCCGTGTTATGCGTGCGCGACTCAGAAGATTTTCGTAGATCCAATCGTATTATAAGGATATTCATCTAGAAAACTTGCCCGGTGCGAAGAGCGATGTTTCACGACGGACGAGCGAACGGACTTGGACTTGGCATTTTCACGGAGCAGGAGTCTGGATTTATACAAACGTCTCCTCTCCCCTACCTTCCGCAACATGCACATGCGTACGGGGGTGCCGCGCCCCCCGACGGCGACGCCTTTGACAGTTGGCGTCTTCCTACGAGTTACAAGGAGAGCTGCCCGGCCGAACAATGATCCCGAAATGTCGCCGCGCTCGTTCGGGTAAACCGGTCTTTAAGAGGCGAGCGAGGAGATCGAACCCGTGTCACTGTGCCTGTCTCCGTACCGACCACTCGCTTATTTTCGGTCCGTCCGAATTTCAATGGCAAGCGACGCTGGCAACCCGCCAGCGGCGCCCCAGCGCGACCCAGCGCGCTCTTGCCTTTCCGGCGACGCCTTCGTCGACGCAGGTCCATTCTCGGATGCCTCGTCTTAATGAGGTGTCGATGCTCTCCCGAAATCGACACCGCGGACGTCGCCGTCGCGGGCGACCGCCGCATATCGCATAGCGCGAAATCGCACGGCGAAATGTATATATAACCCACGGAAAATAATTGACGATCCGCCGGCAATTTGATTTTCACAGCCGCGTAAAATCGATCGGCGGATTAGCGGCCGCGATGAATATTTAATAGGACATGATTGGCATAGAGATTGAAGGGTCGCTCATGATTTGTACATTATCGAAGCGAAACGTGTAAATGGCGGATGAATAGTGCAGCGGCACCGTAAAACAATATGTTGGAGTTGATAGGCTATCAACGTTAATACGTAACCTACGCAATTGTATACTCATTATGCACTACCTGTGTGTTGGGACGGCGTAAATCGGACGGCGGCATGTTTTCTCAGCGGCTCACAACGATGTTTGAAATTGCTAACGTATCTCGTTTAAATTGTAAGCGCGTCCGCACAGGCAGAAATTCGCAATAAGATGGCCAACGAGATTTCGATTCTAGTACTCGGACTAGTCGTCTAATGGCGCTCGATGCGCTACGCCCGTTCGTCGATTTCTATGGTGTCGCCTGACGATGGAAACGCGTCGATTCGTAGTCGTGGATATGAGGAGCCACCATGAATTCTACTTCTTGACTGCACTCTCTGCACCTCTCGAGATCCATTTTCCTTCTCTTTCCCTTCTATCGCAAATGCTTGTTTGATTTCAAGTGCAGGGAGTGTGCCGTGGTGCAATTGAAAAGAACAGTAGTGACAAACATTCAGTCGCGCCAAACCGAAACTGTCCGTTACAAATTTGTGCAAACTGAATTTCGATCTTTTATAATTATTTGAGATCGTAATGGATTATTGTGAAATTCGGGATTTATTGGAATTTTGATGCTGCGTTCGCTAATTGGTATCTTGAATAATTACGAGCGTAAATATATGACAATGCGGTAATAACGTGTAATTATCGCTGATATTTGTTAGAATAAAAATATCTTTGCAAACTCCCGTGCATAATGAATAGTCTGTAGAGCTCCGATTAATTTTATTGTTGGTCGATTGTGCGATTGTGGTTTTCCACCCACCTGTTGAGCCGCAACTGTTACAGATGTTCATGCAACATGGGGTTGTTGTAGAGGCATTCTACAGTGAAATCCCAATGTCAGATAAAATGTTTGTTTATTCGACGTGTATCGTTCGATAGATTAATGGAAGACTGTACTAATATACATCCATTAAAAATACACGAGATTGGTTAAGACACAATATGACCTGGCTTTTGTTTTTCACCATTCAAATTGTATCAGCCAGTATTGGCAACATGGTTTTGAGAGATTTAGGTGAAAAGGAATATTCTTTGCTGAAAGGTAAGAAACTAATAAATAAAAATTGTAGAAAAGTAATGTTTAATGAATATTAATTTAATTACATACATATATATTTCATTACAGCAAAATCATTATCACAGCATGGAACATGTTGGCATGCTGCGCTCCAAACCTTGAAAAATAATTGTGATAAATTGAATGATCATGAGCATTCTCTTCTTGCTTTGCACTTAGCAAATTGTTTCTTAGAAGATTCTGGACATAATACTTATGACTGTCATCTTAGTCAATCAGAAAATGAGCGTCGGTAAAATAAACAATCATTAATGTAAACTGTATATTTTTAATATTTAAAATAATTTGGTATATTATTAATAATTGTTTTGCAGTACATGCATCAGTAATATGGTAGACCGAGCGTTCAATGTTTATAATGAATTTTACACACATGCAACTCACATTTGTTTCTTCTTGAATCATGAAGCTTGGCAAGCTGAAGTTGATAATACCATAAAATTGTGAGTATGCAATATAGTATATGATACATTACAAAATAAAGAATTTATATATATATATATTTATTTATTTATATTTATAATATATATGTATATATTTATGTAAATATAGATTGTTTCAAGTATCTTCTCGAATGAAGGATCAACTTTTGGAAGCATCACAAATGCAGGGTATTATATTGAACAGTCAGAAGGAAGGACTACGAGTCCAAAATGAACTTTTGAATCATGGTAAAGAACTTGGATCTGTACTGAAGACTTCATCCGAGACAGTTAACAATATGGTGTTAGATTTCAAGTGAGTTTATAACTTCTACAATACCTGAAAATCTAGTTGAGTGATTATTGCTTCTAAGCTTTATGTTATTTGAATATCTTAATTTTTAGAGAATCTTAATTTTAGAGAATCATCTAAAGATCAGAGAGAGTTGCTCTATGAAATCTTCTCTTACATGCGTACCTTTCAAAGCTGGATTATAGGAGAAGTCTCCTGGTTTCAATCCATTATATTTTACACAGTCAGCTGTATTCTTTGTGCACTATTCAGTTCTTCCAGAAGAACTGTTGACGCGCGTGTTACGCTGTTTACTATTTTAAGCTTGAATATAGTGGCTGAGAGAATATTGGTACAATATTATGATAATATTGTACATCAGTCTCCAGATGATAAGGTAATATAATATATAATTTCAAATTCTTAAAATTTAAAATCTTTGTAAAGAAACTGATAATTATAATGATTTTTATGATAGGCACAACTCTTGAGTACAACATGGTTGTACAGGAAAATTGCTTTAACACTCTGCGCTATAACATTAATTTGTACATACTATTATTATAAAGATGGACATGTGGAAAATTTTAAAGCCTTACAGAGAATAGAGCAACAGTTGGATGTCATACAAAAGAGTACAATCGTCGGCAATAGTACTGAACAAATTCGTACGTATCTAGTAGATGTTCTATCATTCATGATTAAAATGGTATAATCAGTTGTTATATATTCAGGTTACTCAAAGCGACTCGCGTTGAAGCGATTACATACAGCTTCTAGCAAACGGGATGTTACAAACATCATAAATCCTGAATAATCGTATTAATTAAAAAGTATTTGTAAAAGATAGCTTCTCTTGCTGCATCAGTGTATGATAAAGGTAAGGATGATATGTTTATAATAAAAAGTATTTAGAAGAACCTTTTATATATATTTATATTGTATATTATAATCTAAGTGTTCATACACTATACATGAATGTCTTAACAAGAAAAATATTATATTGTTGGATACTTTCGAAGGAGGTGTGAGATTTGATTAGATGTATGATTCTTACTGTTAGGTACAAGTGCTTTGCTCCTAGATTTAATCTTCTTCTCTATCATATCGTGATTGTATTTCTTATAACATGCATCTAATAAGTTCATTTGTGGAACACAATTTTTGTCCTCAAATTCGTTTTCTTCAAGACATGATAAGAAAAGGGATGTTTCATATAAACATCCACGTTCTGAAACAAAGTATTGCGGATTCATTATGAGTTAAATCACACTTCATTGTAACATACCTGTTACTTTGTGATTTTTGGTTACGTAGTCCTTTAGTACTAACGGTGCTACCGCTTTGAATGGTGTTTTATCCGGATTTTGAGGCCGTCTACCATTACGAAAAAGTAGCGACGTCAATTTCATTTTCCTATAAAGTAGCGTAAGAGACCTGAGATCTTTATAGTGAGGTTAGGATTCTCGAGAAGCTGTAGGAAACAATCACTGAACATGCAGCGTATTCGTATCAATACATAGCTGATTACCGTTGTATAAAGTGAAATATAACTTGTCAAAGCTGTTAAGGGTCTGCAGGAGCCAGAGACAAATCCAGCGTTGACGTTGGAGGTCTCGTGCCAGTAGGCTTGTTCGTTTTGTCTGCACTGCTGAACTGGTGCATTAAGTTAAAGTGAGACAAACATAGGTTTTCTCACTTCAACTTGTTGCACCGGTTCAGCAGTGCAGCAAAACGAATAGGCCTAGTGCTGCGAGACCAGAGAATTTCCGGGCATGCGTATTGAACAAACGCTGTAGGAGTCTCAGTACCGTATTAATTTAAAGGTATTTTAACGATATGGTGATGATACATGGACAGAGAGGAACGTGAGAGCGGCCAACACAGTGTTTTCGACGACACCGACTTTCCGCAACTGGGAAAGGGCGCCATCTACATCCATTTTGAGAGGGGAACTACGATGCTATATCCACTTTCAGGTTTCGGCAGTAAAACCTGTATGTGGTGGCAGTCCGTGCTACATCCATTTTTAGGCGGTTTATGTCCGTGCTACAACCATAATAGCGTACTTGACAAGCACGGTATCGCACATTGTTACGCGTTTATAACATGAATTAACATGTTAACATGTGCAAAAAAAAGAATTGACATTGTGTATGATTAATATCATGAAGATCATACGAAGTGTCCGGTAATTAGCTGCCAACCCGAAGTGTGAGGGTAGATTGGGTTGAGACAAACATAAAAGTCCCATACCATTTTGCGAGATTCGCAATAATTATCGAGTTATTAATAACAGAAATCTGAGGAGTAAAAGCGCGCCGACATAGATGATTCGAAAAGCGTTGCAGCTGCTCGGGGCAGCGATAATGAATCTTTTCCTTAGCGTGAACTAATAAAAAGTGAAAGACTTCTGTGAATCAGTGAAAAATGAAAAATTTTATATGAATTTGTGAAAATCGAAACATTTCACACGACAATTGAGTCATTCAACGTGGCAGTTGCGCGTTCTGAATAATTCAATGAATATCAAAGAAATCAAAATGACCAAAATAATAATGTCCGTGTAGTCCGAAGGATATTACGTGACACGCAAAATCCGTTTGATATAATATCCAAAGAAAATATTTCAAAATATGTATGTACAGGTAATATAAACCTTATCCACCGACGAGATATACTACAAAGACTGATGGCTTTACGGGATTTAGCGTACCAGAGAAATTTCCCTGGTGAGGCACCCGGGCGAAAGAGACCGTCTCGCATTTAGCGCAGTAAAATTTAATGGAAACTAATACTTTTCAATCTTTTTCTTCGGATCAAAAAGATTCAGAATTCAGACATATTCAAAATATCAATACTTTATAATACGTTTCAATACGACATTTTATACAGGGAAACAGGACGAAGGGAATGGGATGCGGACAACGATACATCATGCGTCTTCAGACGTGTCAAATCGTTTATTATAGAGGAGACTTTGATACGGCAACATGTATTCGAATATTTAATCGTCCCATGGACCACTTATATATAATAAAAGAAAAAATTAACGCGGATAAATGAACGATTCGTATTAATTTTTCCTTTTCTTATAGAGCAATGAAAGAGTAAATCAGTTTAGAAAATCGAATACCGATTAATACCATAAACCAGTGTCAGAAAATTGTCCAATGACAATTTGTTCCCATTCTTCACAACAAATTTAAACAATAAATTAACTCGGTTAAACGAACAATTCGTACCAATTTTTCTTCTCTTACCAAGAAATGAGAGAATAAATAAATACCGAAAATCGAAGGCCGATCAATACCTAATTTATTCATCAAATAAACGCGGATTAATGCACGATTCGTATTAATTTTCTGTTTTCTTTTAGAAAAATGAAAGAGTAAATCAATACCGAAAATCGAATATCGATTAATACCATAAATCAGTGTCAAAAAATTGCACACGTGCAATGACAATTTGTCCTTATTTTTCAGGTACATACCCCTCTAATCTTATTCAACAAATTAACTCAGATAAACGATTCGTATCAACTTTTCTTATCAAAAAAAAAATGAGAAAATAAATCAGTACTGAAAATCGAAGACCGTTCAATATCTAATTTTTTCATCAAATTAACACGGATTAATGAACAATTCGTCTAAATTTTTTCTTTTCATATAGAAAAAAGGAAAGGAGAAATCAGAACCGAAAATCGAATACCGATCAATATCGAATTTATTCATCAAATTAACGTGGATACACAAACGATTTGCATCAATCTTTTTTTCTTTTATACAGAAATCGAAGACTAAATCAGAACCGAAAACCGGATATTGATCAATACTATAAATCAGCGTTAGAAAATTGTCTAAGTGCAATGACAAGTTGTTTTCATCTTGCAGGTACTTACCCCACTAATTTACTCAACAAATTAAGTCGGATAAAAGAAAGGTTCGTATCAATTTTTATTCTCTTATAAAGAAATTAGAGAATTAGTCAGTACCGAAAATTGAAGACCGCTCAATATTTAATTTTTTCATCAAATCAATGCGGATAAATGAACGATTCGTATTAATTTTCTGTTTTCTTATAGAGAAATGAAAGAGTAAATCAGTGCAGCAATTTCAATTTGTTCTTATTTTTTAGGTATTTACCCCTTTAATTTACTCAACAAATTAACTTGAATAAACGAATGATTATTATCAATTTTTCTTCTCTTATAAAGAAATGAAAGAATAAATCAGTACCGAAAATTGAAGACCGATCAATATTTAATTGTATGTATACTTTATTAATTCCCCTGGCGGAGTTACAAATTCCAATATAATCTCTCCTTACTTCCTATTACGCTCGCCCCTATCCTCTCGCACACACACACACACACACACTCCCATCCCCCGCCCCTCCTTAAAACTACTTTACAAATATCTTACATCTACTCGCTCGCTTATCTCTTATAATTAATTGTTCGCTTATCATCTATTCTAGATATATACATATGTATATATCTATATTTCTATGCCGCTGTTACCCCTATAATTCTTATATCCTACCGCCGATTTTCGCTTTCCTCCATTAATTACATTCCTTCACATTTTCTCCCTCGCTCTCTCTCTCTCTCTCTCATCCTTTTAATCCTCCTCGTCCTCCCTCTCGCCCCCTCCTCTCCTACACCTCTCTCATCCCCCCTCTCCCTCCCCCCTCCTAGCAGGCTTTCTACCACTTATCCCCATCCCTCTCCCTCTCGCCCCATCCCATAAACGAACGATCCGTGCACGAACAATATTTAATTTATTCATCAAATTAACGCGGATAAATGAACGATTCGTATCAATTTCTTCTTTTCTTATAGAGAAATGAAAAAGTAAAACAGTATCGAAAATTGAATATTGATTAATACCATAAATCAGTGTCAGAAATTTGTTTAAGGGCAATGACAATTTGTTCTTGTTTTTCACGTACTTACCCCTCTAATTTAATCAACAAATTAACTCTGTTAAACGAACGGTCCGTATCAATTTTTCTTTTCTTGTAAAGAAATGAGAGAATAAATCAGTACCGAAAATCGAACACCGATCAATACCTAATTTTTTTATCAAATTAACGCGGATTAATGAACGATTCGTATTAATTTTCTGTTTTTTTATAGAGAAATGAAAGAGTAATTCAGTACCGAAAATCGAATATCGATCAATACCGTAAATCAGTGTCAGAAAATTGTCCAAGTGCAATGATAATTTGCACTTATTTTTCAGGTACTTACCCCTCTAAATTTATTCAACAAATTAACTCGGATAAACGAACGATCCGTATCAATTTTTTTGTCTTATAAAGAAATGAGAAAATAAATCAGTACCGAAAACCGAAGACTGATCAATACCATAATTCAATGTCAAGAAAATTGTCCAAGTGCAATGACAAGTTGTTTTCATCTTGCAGGTACTTACCCCACTAATTTACTCGACAAATTAAGTCGGATAAAAGAACGATTCCTATCAATTTTTATTCACTTATAAAGAAATTAGAGAATCAGTCAGTACCGAAAATTGAAGACCGATCAATATTTAATTTATTCACCAAATTAACGCGGATAACTGAACGATTCGTATGAATCTTTTTTTCTTATAGATAAATGAAAGAGTAAGTCAGTACCGAAAATCGCATATCGATTAACCGTAAATCAGTGTCAGAAAATTGTCCAAGTGCAATGACAATTTGTTCTCATTTTTCAGGTACTTACCCCTCTAAACTTATTCAACAAACTAACTCGGATAAACGAACGATTCGTATCAATTTTTTTTGTCTTATAAAAAAATGAGAAAATAAATCAGTACCGAAAACCGAAGACTGATCAATACCATAATTCAATGTCAAGAAAATTGTCCAAGTGCAATGACAATTTGTTCTTATTTTTCAGGTACTTACCCCTCTAATTTACTCAACAAATTAACACGGTTAAACGAACAGTCCGTATCAATTTTTCTTTTCTTATAAAGAAATGAGAGAATAAATCAGTACCGAAAACCGAAGACCGATCAATACGTAATTTTTTCATCAAATTAACGCGGATAAATGAACGATTCGTATTAATTTTCTGTTTTCTTATAGAAAAATGAAAGAGTAAATCAGTACCGATAACCGAAGACTGATCAATACCATAAATCAATGTCAAGAAAATTGTCCAAGTGCAATAACAATTTGTTCTTATTTTTCAGGTACTTACCCCTCTAATTTACTCAACAAATTAACTCGGTCAAGCGAACAGTCCGTATCAATTTTTCTTTTCTTATAAAGAAATGAGAGAATAAATCAGTACCGAAAACCGAAGACCGATCAATACGTAATTTTTCCATCAAATTAACGCGGATAAATGAACGATTCGTATTAATTTTCTGTTTTCTTATAGAAAAATGAAAGAGTAAATCAGTACCGATAACCGAAGACTGATCAATACCATAAATCAATGTCAAGAAAATTGTCCAAGTGCAATGACAATTTGTTCTTATTTTTCAGGTACTTACCCCTCTAATTTACTTAACAAATTAATTCTGTTAAACGAACGATTCGTATCAATTTTTTTTTTCTTATAAAGAAATGAGAGAATAAATCAGTACCGAAAACCGAAGACCGATCAATACGTAATTTTTCCATCAAATTAACGCGGATAAATGAACGATTCGTATTAATTTTCTGTTTTCTTATAGAGCAATGAAAGATTAAATCA